ATTCAGTAAAATAAACTGTTAATTGAATTTAATGACAAGCAGAAAAAGTGTCAAAATAATATTATTTATTAATTTTTAGTATCATTTTAAATTCTAGTTGAAATAAATTTTTGTAATTAAAAATTTTAGACTGAATTTGTTAAAAATAATAAAATTGTTATATGATAATATTATGAAGTAAGATATTCAATGATGTCAGTTATAAAAGATTTAAATTTTAAGAAGTACTAAATGACAAGTTATTTAATAAAGATGTTCTTGTTCTAAATTTTATTTTAGATATTAACCATTTAATGCAATAATGAAAAAAACAAACATTTATTTCATGTTCCTGTTAATTAATTCCTTATACAATTTCATTGGTTAAGTAGACACCAATTGAAAATGTAATATCTTAGATTTTTTTCAGATATCATAATTTTTTTCTCTGCTTCTAAGAAACTGTTCCATTCACAGCCAAATATCAAATGATGTTCTGACAACAAATCAAATTTTGCAAAAGACAGACCAAATATTTAAACTTGGCATCCTTGAAAACCACTTAAATCATATTTTGTGCAGATTGTAACCTCGTATTTTGTATTTTCCAATTCCAATGCCACCATACTGCTGGTCCGATAGAAATTCGGGACCATTGCAGAAGAGGGTTGAAGTAATTTGACCAATAGTAGTTATTGATCAACCACTACTAATTAATACTGGTCTACTATTAAAATTTGAAAAGTGATCAGTGTTAGACAGGTTGTGATGGCTCCATTTATGTGATCAAAGTTGATAACCTTAAAGACTTTGTATGACTTGCTTAAATAAAACAATCTTCTAAAACTGTGAGAATAATTACTTTTAAGTTATACCTATGCAAAAAACACCTTATCTCACTGAAAATTATTTATTAACCATAAACCTATGTATCTAAAACTTAACGATGGCCAGAACAGATTGAAAACGTTCATTATGATTAATAAAAATTTCTCAATGAGATAAGGCATTTTTGTGTAGATTAAAAAGCATCTAGTTGGGTATTAATTAAGTATTTTATGTTATACTAGTGTTTATATTTTTAAAACAGATTGTATAAACTATGTGAGAAGTATGTTCTTGTAAATATCGCATTTATAGTAAAATTATTGGAATGCAATTTGAAAAACTTGTAAACCTATAAATTTCAACTGTTATCTGTCTGTAAGTCTGTCCTACCTCAATCTTGAGAAAGGAGTTAAATACATTAATGTCGAGACCAGATGTAGAAAGCTTAGGGGGTAAGAGGCTCAGATTAACTATATAAGAACTTTAAGTTTGGAATGTATGTCATATTACTTCAATTCAAAATTTTCCCCTGAACGAAGTTAGATAGATGACCAGCATGACACTATTGCTGACAGGAAAAGTATGATGTACAGGGGCAAACCCACCATTAAAAAATTGAGAACATTGTGATGAAAAGTTGCAGGCTGGCATTGTGACAATGTCACAATAAATAATTGCTCGTTAGAATTAGTTTGGTTTATTTGGTTACTGCAATGTGACACACAAGCAATCTGCTGGGAGATGCATCCCAGGAAAACTTTTATGGAAAGCTGGACCTATTTAGATGAAGAAAACCCAGAAAACTCCATGTGGCCAGCCTGTTTGCCATGCCTGAACCCATGACTAACTAACTACCAGAGTTTGGTAGTTTTATGCACTTGGCTACAGGAGGGCACTTATTAGAATTAAAAAAGCACAGTCCAGAAATGAGAAAACCCAAGTTGTTAGACGTGGAAAATTAAATAGTTAGATTTTTCATAGGGTAACACTTTTGATTCCATGCAGGAAAGTGCTATATGCCACATGTCACAGTAATTATATAACATGTCTGTTTTGTGATATATTATTGTTGCAGTAATTAAATGAATATAATATATTTTAAAATTATAATTCTTATTTTTAAAAATATATTTATTATTTTGTTACATTTTTCACCAATATATGGCACTATGTGTAAATCAGCAAATCTAATGTACTGTATATAGAAATTAATTGATTTAAAGAAATCCATTAAATATTTTGGGATGTGATGTATATTATCTAAGTTAGGGATATATAAATGTAATTGCAGAGTTTCGTAACAATTGGTTGAATGGCCTAGGAGTGTATAGTAAACAAACAAACATTTTCTTTTATATATATATA